AAAAAAAAATCTAAAATTGATTTGGAACCACAAAAGGCCCCAAATATCCAAAACAATTTCAAGAAAGAATAACAAAGCTGGAGGCATCACACTACCTGATTTCAAACATATTGCAAATAGTATGGTTCTGACTTAAAGACAGACATATAGACCAATGAAACAGAATAAAGAGTCCAAAAATAAACCCACACATATATGGTCAACTGATTTTTGGCAAGGCACCAAGAATACATGGTGGGGAAAGGATAGTGTCTTTAAAAAATAGTGTTGTGAAAACTGGATATCCACATGCAAAAAAATGAGATCGGACTCTTATCTTACATCATGCACAAAGATTAACTCAGAATGCACTAAAGACTTAAATGTAAGGCCTGAAATTGCAAATCCCCAAGAGGAAAACAGAGGAAAAGTTTCATGGCTTTGGTATTGACCATGATTTATTGGATACAACACAAAAAGCACAGTAAACAAAAGGCAAAAATAGACAAGTAAGATTACATCTCACTAAAAACTTCTGCAAAACAAAGGAAACCATTAGAAGATTTAAAAGGTAACTTAATGAAATGGAAAAAAGATTTGCAAATCACATATCTGATAAGGGGTTAATATCCAAAATATATAAGGAACTCCTACAACTCAATAGCAAAAATCCCCACAAAACTTAATTACAAAATAGGCAAAAGACTTGAATAAATATTTCTGCAAAGATAATATACAAATGGTGAACATGTATGTATACATGAAAAGATGTTCAACATCACTAACAATTAGGAAAATGCAAATAAAAACCAGTTTGATATCACCTTATACCTGTTAGGATGGCAATTATAAAGCAAACAAACAAAAAATAACAAGTATTGGCAGGGATCTGCAGAAGTTGGAATCTTTATGCACTGTTGGTGAGAATGTAAAATGGTGTGTCCACTATTAGAAACAGTAAGGGGATTCCCCCAAACAGTAAAAATTGAATTACCATATGATGCAGCAATTTCTCTTCTGGGTATTTATCCAAAATAATTGAAATCACTATCTCAAAGAGATATCTGCACTTATGTGTTCATTGCAGCATTATTCACAATAACTAAGATATAGAAGCAAACTAAATGTAAACCCACAGATGAATGGATAAGGAAAATGTGGTATATACATACAATGGACTATTATTCAGCATCAAAAATGAAGGAAATCCTGTCACATGCTACAACAGGGAAGAAACTTGAGGACATTATGCTAAGTGAAATAGGCCAGTCATAGAAGAATACAATACTGCGTAATTCCATTTATATGAGGTATCTTAAATAATCAAACTCATAGAAGAAGAAAATAGAGTGGTGGATGCCAGCAACTGGAGGGAAGGGACAATGGGAGTAGCTATTCAAGAAGTATGAGTTTCAGTTCTGCAAGACGCACAAGTTTTAGAGATCTGTCGTACAACATTGTGCATAGAGCTAACAATACTGTATTGTACATGTAAAAATCTAAGAAGGTAGATATCTTTTTTTACCACAATTAAAAAAAAAAGAAAGAATATCCAAGTGTACCTGCTGTGCTTGTAGCAGATAGCAGAGTGTTAAATAAATATTTGATAAGCGTCAGAAAAATAGAAGTCCTAAGATTCTGGAGCACTACTATGACCTATTTTTCTGATGTCTCTTCTCCATTAGAAGAAACAGTCCCTGGCTTGTTATTGAACTCTGGTTGAGAATGAATACCTGATCATGGGTACCAAGTGACTATGTTACTTATGATGACTATTATTTTGCAATAACAAAAATATAACTGAACATTAGCAGCAACATTCTACAATTAAATAGATATAGTATATATGAGAACAGGCCAAAGCAGTTCCTGAGAAACAAGTAAATTGTCTCTGCAGGTGGCTTAGACTTTTGTGGAACCTACCAAAGCTTTTAAAACCTTTCTATAGTATTTCTGCCAGCATCACAAACCAGGGACATAGTCTTAATAAAAATCATGGGCTTCCCTGGTGACACAGTGGTTGAGAATCTGCCTGCTAATGCAGGGGACACGGGTTCGAGCTCTGGTATGGGAGGATCCCACATTCCGTGGAGCAACTAGGCCCATGAACCACAACTACTGAGCCTGCACGTCCGGAGCCTGTGCTCCGCAACAAGAGAGGCCACGATAGTGAGAGGCCCGCTCACTGCGATGAAGCGTGGCTCCCGCTTGCCACAACTAGAGAAAGCCCTTGCACAGAAACGAAGACCCAACACAGCAAGAATAAATAAATAAATTAATAAACTCCTACCCCCAACATCTTAAAAAAAAAATCATGGTAATGATATCAGCATTGTGTCTGGGCAGGAAACATATTTACAGCTGAGGAAATTCCACAAAGTGTAATATCCATGAAATTTGCTGATTTTACCAGGTTCCCCATTAGGTAATGAAAGCTTTTCAGGGTTTTAGCTGGGGGCTAATACCCTGTATATTTTAGGTTCTGTCTTAAAGAAGGCAGTGTATGCTTTAAATTATGGCCTGATATACGATATATTCTGTATTTCAGTTTGAATACATGGGTTACGATATCAAGGGGTTGAAAGTGGGAATGGATCTTCTAACAAGTATGCTTCCCTATTTCCCTTAGACAAGTTTGTTTTTCATTACTACAACTTGGAGACAGGCAGTTTAGAGGTTGCATTTCTCAAGAGAGCAGTGATTCCACCCAGGCATATGGACATAATATACTTAGATCGGAAGCATGCATACTTCTTAATTATTTTGAGCTCCTCTGCATCAGAATTCACTTAGAGAAGGGCTTACTCTCCTGGCTGTGGTAATTTATCCAAAATACCAAAGATAAACTAGGTTGCTGACACATGATAAGTGTAGGCAAAATTATGCCTAGTATCCATCTCAATACTCTGATGTCCAATAGTAAAATGTCAGTGGAAAGCTGTGGCAAACCAGTAAGACAAGATATATTTTCACATTGATTTGGAGTGTAGAAAGATTTGGATCATCCTACCAGGTAAAGAACCCTGACCAGAGGATAAACAGCATGTGGAATGTTTATGAACAAAGTAAGTAAAAATATTAAGTTCAGTCTCTTGGTCATAACTAAGGTCTGAGAAAGTAAGATTTATGTAAAAGTACCTGGCTGATGGGACTTGGTTTCTGCTTTATTATCCTAGAATGAACAGTTTTATGAATGACTGCTAAGGAAAGTCTGTTCTTAACGTTTTTTTAAAAAAAAATCCAAATATATGCTGCAGTTATTCTAGCTAATGCAGTTGGTATCACCCAGGAATTTTTGCCAGATGACTTCTGATGATTCTCAGGCAAAGGAAGAAACTTGTAGATTACCAGAGGGCAGAAAGGGATAAATCAGGTGAGCAGCAGCTATGGAGCTGAAGTAAGTCAAACCAAATGGGTGCCTGCACTTGGGCAGTGTTCAGGGCCAGGGATGGCCAACCCACCTCTCATTAGATCTCAGCTATTTGCTACATTTTAATTACCAAAAATAAATTGAGCATAGAACAAACACAAGCAGCTCTTCTCGAAACATAATTGTAAAAGTCAAAACGTATCCATATGAATCACTCTTTTAGAAAGAAAACATTTAACAAACACATTTTCAGCCTTCACAAAAAAATTTTTATAATTTATTTGCATTTTCAGTAATGTACATATTCTAGAGGAAATACCTGTACGTTCTAGTGATACAATTATTTTTAAATTGGAAGTAATTTTCGATATACCATATTGAAATAAATAAGAATTTCAAAAAATTCAGTAAGCTGATAGATGTCATTTATTTCTTCAATTATATATCAAATACTGAAATTAAAACTTTAATTAGACATGTCATTAAGTTTATGATGGGTAAAGAAAGTAAAATCTTTAATCTATTTGTTAAATTAATGCAAAGCTGAATCCAATATGAACATTTCTCTTTAGTGCTTTGCATTGATGCATGTTTACTACAACATATCTTTGGTCAAACAGGTCTGCTAACATCTTATATCCTTGGCATAACAATTATTGATGGATTTAAATTTGTAGGAGACAGAGACTGAAAAATAGCATAATAATCGTGTCTTTCAGGTAAATATTTGTTTTTGACAGAAAACTACACCTTTGATTATAAATAGCAATTGTAGATTATGAGCTTTAATGATTTTTAAATATAATGAATTGACATTTAACTTTAAGGTTATCAATTGTACTGTAAATTAAAATTTTCATAAAATTATTTTAAAATTTTCCTATATTTGTTATTTTTTTCTAAAAATTATCTGTTCCCCCTTAAAATATTGCTTACATTCTCTGTCCCTGACAAAAAAATCAATGATTCAATCGATCTCTTGTTTGAAGGCAGTGCTCAGTCTCTTAAACTAAAGGGCACACAAGAATACTTGCTGACTAAAGGCAGAAATGTGGGTATGATTATCTATGTGTTTAATGGAAATTTGTAGACCTTCCCTGGTGTGATGTGCCATCACAATTATTATCAATTCGTGCTCTGACCCCAGTAACACTGGGCAAGCAGAAAGACTTATTTTTATGACAAATGAAATCATTACTCTTATGATATACTAGTCTCCTGTGATGGTTTCCTAATTTGTATGTTCTAGAGGAGCTTGTGAATTTTTTTTCTCTGTGGTCCCTGCATCTATCAACTTTGGCTTACATTTTGTGTGTTCCCCAGGATTCAGCATATTGTCAGTCAGCATATCACTTAAGGTTAAAAGTAAAGGAAAAATTGATATTATTAATAGAATAAACGTAAAATTATTAGTGAACCTTTGTCAGGAATGTTTGAGGAAGAGGGTAAAGCCACCTGGGAAAAGACAAAAGAAGAAGGGGACATGCCCACCAGTTAATGCTATTGTTGAATTCTAGACTTTATCTCTAGCTTAAGGCAGAGAGGAATGGGAATTTTGAAAGCAGGATGAAGATGTTATGTTTTCATTAAGGCCATTGTGGCTAGAATGAACAGAATTGCCCATACAAGTCTTTACCAAACTTAGAAAAATCTATTCTCTCTTTTTCTTCTTTCCTGTTTTAACAAATTTTAGACAAGAAAACAAACAACATTTTGTGACCAAGAATACAGCAGTTGCCACACAGGCCAGCAAGAACCCAATCACATCCAAAGAGTGGTACTGGAACCAGGTGAGGTTGTGGGCAGCTGGCCGCAGGTGCTTGGCTCCTTTGTGGTGCATGACAAACTCGATCCAGAAGACTGCTCGGTCCAGGGGCTTTACAGGCTGATCATGGTGAAGCCGTGATAACCTCATAGCATTCTCTTTATAACTGGTAGGCAAAAACAAACAAAAACATAGAAATTATAGAGCTTTTGTTTTCATTAAAAGTAAGCATACAATACATGATATGTGTTATGCAAGCCAAAATCCATAGCTGTGTTGAGAAAAACACTTTAATTCTTGATGTGACATGAACTTTGCTGGTCACATAGCATGTTAAGAGTTGTGAAAGAGGGGTGTGGAAGAAATATATTCTTAATGGAGTGTGGTAAAATGCAAACATATAAAAAAGATGGAATAAATCAGTTGTAAATGTATAGCCTCATTTTTCCAAGAAGGAATTTTGGTATTGTGTGAATTATAGTTTCCAGGACTGTTCCAGACCAAGACTCTGAATAACCCTATTTTGAGAGAAAATACCCATTAGAGAGTCCATAAGCATGGCCTCTAATGTCAGACTAATTAATGATGACAGACATAGAAACTGATAGTCAACAGTAGTGAGACATTTTTGCAATGCCTGAGATCGACACTGTGATAATGCCTCCATTGCACACACCTGTGCCTTTGTGATGCAAAACACAGTGTCTATATATCGGCAGTGTCAAGATTGGATGAAGATACTAAGGTAATTTTAGAAATGGCAAGGACATGGGTTTTGAGTTTTTAAGGTAAATAGAAATGTCTCACTAGCATAAAGCCCATAATCAATGTGGCATCACAAGAGCAATAGTTAACAACTCTAATAGTCTCTCAAACACCAATGGTTATAGGTATGTCTTCAAAAGGCATGTTCTGAATTCACTGGAGATTTCTTGGTGGCTGAGCCAAGAATTAGTATGTTTACCTTTGGTTTTGTGTTAGAGATAAAAGTTCCAGCCTGCAGACATGAAGATGACAGGAGGTAGAGATGTGAAGAGATGTCCTGGTGCAAGCTGGACATTGTTGGGATCAGAGAAGAAGAAATGTAATCATCATTCACCAGTGAACATGATACACAACATCCAGCAGCAAGAGGTAATTTACTTGTGTTCTTTTTTTTGTGCACAGTGAGAAAGAATAGTCATACTCTCTCTTTTTGTTTTGTTGTTTTGTTTGTTTTGTTTTTTGTTGTTGTTTTCATACTCTCTTTAAACCAGATTGAAATATAGGTAGGACTAGAAGAGTAGTTACACAAGTTTCATCCTAATACATTTTAGGCAAACTACAGTGGTGATAAGAGACTATCTGTTCAAATCATATTTTTATTCAAGGTTTTCTCCATTTATAGATAGAGATTTAAAATTTGAAATATGCATATACTTGACAGATACACTTGTACATGTGAATACAAATAAAAATACAGTAAGCCTTCCTACAAATGAGATAGGATAATCTATGCTCATTAAGATGATTACTTAATATTTGTTGTACACTGTTTTATGACAGTTATGTTAAAATATTATGAAATTGCTATGGTTTATGTATTTAAATGTAAACTTCGTGCTCCTTAATTCCTTTAAGGAATAAGAAAATGGAATACAAATACATTATATATATACTCTACACTAAACACTTTTGTTCCCAGATAATTTCAGACTTAGAATTAAGTTTAGGTTAAAGTTAAGGTATTTTTTTGTTTGTTTTTTTTGTTTCTTTTTTTTTGTTTTTTTTCTTTTTCAGTACACGAGCCTCTCACTGTTGTGGCCTCTCCCGTTGCGGAGCACAGGCTCCGGACGCGCAGGCTCAGCGGCCATGGCTCACGGGCCCAGCCGCTCCGCGGCACGTGGGATCCTCCCAGACCGGGGCACGAACCCACGTCCCCTGCATCGGCAGGCGGACCCTCAACCACTGTGCCACCAGGGAAGCCCAGTTAAGGTATTTTTAAAATAAATAATTTCAGGTATTTTCCTGGGAAATTCTAAGAGTATAATTTTTTCACATCAATAGTTTTCAAATCAACAGGAAAATTTAGTAAGCCTTCTATAAAATGAAGTAGAATTTTTAAAAATTACAGAATTTACCTACTCTGATATTTAGTAAAATGAACCAAATTATCAGCAATTAACAACTTGGTAATAGCCTAATAGATTAGACATCAAGATCATCATTTATGGGAAACAAAAGATCATAGTAAGCCTTGCTGAAACTCCTAACCTCCCTTTCCAGATCCTGATGATATATATAATATTCTGAAATATATGATTTGATTATGTATCTTAACAAAAATCTTTTGACTGCAATGTGAGTGGGAGGGGAAAATGGACCACCAGGGCTGACTTTTTAGGATGAGTTCAAGGCAGATATTGAGTGTCTTCCCTTTTGGAAATGAATACATTGACCACTTTGTCTAGAAAACCTTGCTGCTAGGGCTTTAACAGATGGTTTTTCATAGACTAGTTCCACTAAAAAAAGCTGCAAAAATTTCATTTATGTTGACCTTCTCTCCTAACTCCTAAATTGCAGGTTTCAGTAATGTGAATGGAATATTACAACTATCCTTCAAGTTTTGCCTCTGAATAAAAATAATTGAGTCTGAGATAAACTGGAAACAAATTTTAAAATAAGGTATCTATACAAATGTGGAGCAAATAGTGAAAGCAAGATGAGACACATGACAGCAACTTACACAATATTGGGGAAAAAACATAAAAATGACAGACTTAGAATGTAATTAGGCATAATACATAATTCAAAAGAAGAGGAAAGTTTGAGTAGAGTAAGAATGTGAGAGTTATGAACAAAAGCTCGAGGATCAGATTATGAAACAAGAGGAGGTAACAAAAGACAAGGTGAGCTATTGAAATTAGTTGTTAAAAATAGCACTTTAAAGGATTAATAAGAAAATTACAAACAGTAAGCAATGTTCATGAAAAAGTGAATTTACTAATTTATGGACTATTTGAAGGAATCTCAGTAAATTAAGAAAGCAAAAAATGATTAGAACAATTAGAAAATAATAGAGAAAGAAAACAAGCTCAAATATTTTAACATAGGGAATATTAAAATCTGATGTCCCTGAAAGAGATAAAAAATGGAACTAAAAGACATTTTAATAAACAAAAAAAATTAATTTCTGAAAAGAAAAATTGAATAATTTTCATCCTAGATTAACAGTGGTAAAAGAATACAATATAATCCCAGGAAAATGTAGAAAACAAATGATAAGGATATGCCATGTTTAAGTTTCTGAATTTAAAAAATACTATTTCCAGGCCGAACAAGAAACCCTTAAAAAGTAATACTGATCAGAAAGTCCTCAAAACCCTACAGCAGCATTTTAAGCCAGAAGATCATAAGTAACCCTGCACAGTTCAAAAGGAAAGAAAGTGAGATCTAAGTATGTTATATTCAGATAGGTGTCATTCTCCCATCAAGTCAATGAGCAAATATTGTTAACTGTGATTTCAGGGAGTCCATGACTCTTTGATGAAAGAAAATTCCATATGAAGCATTCAGTTAAGAATGAATTCAAAATATTTTGTAGAATCTCTGATTCAATGGTGAATATTGATTCTCTTAAAATATGTGAAAAGATTAAATTACTGTGAGGAAAATAAGTGCCATAAATATTGACAAATTAAAAATTTAAGTAATATATATTAGAGATGAAATAACTTCCAATTTCAACTATTAGTGGCTAAAATTAAAACACATTGTTAAAAATAAACACTATGTATACATATATTAATTCTTAACCTTGGTGAGACCTTTCAGAGAAAAATATTAAGATATAATCATCTGTATCTAAAGTTCATATAGTTTATAAATGTAGTTTACAAATTTATTTTATCTTTAGCTAAATCAGATAAAATTTAGAATTTTGTTTAAAAATACATATATAGTATCAATTGATATTTATAAAATTATTAACTACTCTAACTACTCCTCCCTGTATATATGCATATACTGATTAATGATATACACCAAGTGTTAACAATGATTATTTTTGAATGATCAATATTGGGTGAATTTTCACTTCCATTTTTGTACTTACTGAATGGTTATAATATTTAAATAAACATATATATTTGTTTATAAAAAAAGCAGATTATCCAGAAAATTATCTAAGAATTTATGTAATCACCAACATTATTTATTTTGAAAAAACATTAATATAATATTTGAAATCTTAGTTTGTTTTATCATCTCAGACAATCACTTCAGTAATTTGGGAAATGAAATAATAAAATGGTTTTTAAATGGTCATGTTATAGTTGTTATTTGAAAATACACTAGTTAGAAATGCATGAAACATTGGACATTTTTGAGTATGATGGGTAGCATAATTAATGACAAGCCTTTAAAAGTAGTAGTACTTACAAAGGTTCATTAATGACTGTTCTCAAGGCATTGAGTAAATCTGCACTTGTCATTGTGTTTATGTTCACCTCCACAGCTGCTCCTTTGGCCTTCATGTGAGCAATGTTGTCAGGCTGATCAGCAAACATGGGAACTCCCACCATAGGCACCCCATGATAGATAGCTTCATAGATCCCATTGGTTCCACCATGAGTGATAAAACCTTTTGCTTTGGGATGACCTAGTTTGGGGATTGGAAGAGAAGCAGGTGAGGATTTCATGATACATAATACATTAATAGAATTTCAGAGAGAGATGGGGAAAAAACTATTGGATAACTCAATGAAGAAGGCAGTGTTTTCTACAAAAGCCAAGAACATGGAGAATTGCTATCTCAGATAATCGTGATCCCCGAAAAAGGTGGAATTAACTTCCTCTGCATTGTCTAGAAAGACTTACTTAGGAGGCCATATCAGAACTGAAATTGAAACTTGGAGAGTGGTGAGAGTCTTAACTGAAGATTCTCTTTTATGAGCCAGAGTAAGCATCAATCTATAAAATTAATGGCCCGTTCTTTAATTATATCTGCTTTAAAACTGCAAGTAAAATGTGGAAATTTAAATATTTAAAATGTTTATTGAATTTACTTGCTGTTAAGCAGTTACTTGCCCATCATCCAACTGTACAGCTTTTTTTTCTTGGTCTTATCAAGATCATTCTGTGGTATCCAATCATAGAGCCGAGTATTGGCTCCTAACGTGGCCAGTTTCTTTCCTTTGTAACTCCATAAAACCTGTGGAAGACAGTGCTTTAATTTTGTAAGTAAAAACACAAAATTAAGGCATTTTAAGGCCATAGAGTTATTTATAAATCATATAGCCCATCTTAGTTTTTTTTTTTTTGACTATTTGAAAGTCTGTGTTGAGGTACTACATGAAGTATACAGAAGTTCATAAAAAGTTCAAACAACTGATGTTCATGTATATCTGTTACAGCAGTTAACTTTAAGTCATAAACAAAAGAATATTGCGAAGAAAGTTTTTCAAGAAAAAGTATACTAAAATTTGAAAACAGCAAATAGCACTTGATGTCCTGAAAGGATAAAAATTATAATTTGTAAGTTTTATTAATTTAAGAAACATAGATTGTGTTCTAAATAATTTGTTGGATATTCAAGATATAATATATCATGTTTAAATCTATAACCATTATTTTGTTTTCAGATATTTTATAGCTTGTATGAGTGCAGATTACTTTTCTTGCATAAAAATATAATTGAATAGAGAGGGTCATGAGCATAATATTCTTCCTTATTTCTTTGTATTTTGAGAGGAATTGATAAATGAGAGAAAAGTGCAGTTTGCTTCCCTCCCTGACAAGCTCCAAGGCATGACAGTTGTATTCCACATGCTTCAAATAGCTCCTGCTTTCTTGGAATCAACTCTGGGCCTTAATTCCGAAATGGAGACAAGTCCAAACACTTTTCACTTTCATCTTCTGTTTCAGTTATTTGTGAAACTGATCCAGGTTGCATAGTAGTTTATCAAGGAAGATTTTATTCTAAGCAGAGCTGCAGTCCTCTGTGCCTAAAAGGCTGAAGATCCAGAGGAGAATCTGATGGTGGAAACCAGAAGCTCTTTTCTAGGGACAGGAGAGAGGGTTTTTTTTTTCAGGTAGCATAAAAGGCTGACTTTCTTGTTCCCCAGGCTATGGCTCCAAGGAGTGAGGCACGTCCCAGGCAGGAAACCAGGCATGACTGGAGCAGAGCATCACCAGTGTCATCAGCAAAGAGTCTGGGACATTGACATATTGAATGACTTAACATCCCAGCCAGGCAGGTGTGAGGGGTGCACATGTCCTCCAAATTCTGAGTTCTAAGCATCCTGTTCTGCCCTCAATGGCCGGCAGGTGGTGCACAAAACCGCCCTTTCTTAGCCCATCCTCCTTTATGTGATAGTTGAGAGGAACATACAAAAGAGGTAGTTTGCAAACATTGAGAAATAAGGTAAAACTGTTTGCCTTTACCTTTTTTGAAAGGGCTTATACTAATAGTCTATTAAATATAGTATTATCACTTAAAAGCTTTTGGAAGTGAGATTGTGAGTGAAGAAATAGAAAATAAATAGGACTAGTTTAGGCAGAATATGAGGGTTAAAAAGCATTAAAACGAACATGAATACTACGTAACTACTTGTCATGAGGCCATCCTAGTTCTTAAGTTTCAAATGTAATGTTTTCCAAAAATATAATTAGCTTTAAAATTTTTTTGGCTGCTTTTTGGATGATTTGTTGCCTTTCTGCCCTCCCTCCCTTCCTTCCTCCCTTTGTTTTTCTTTCTTTCTTTCTTCCTGCCTTCCTGCCTGCCTTCCTTCCTTTCTCTCTCTCTTTTTCTCTCTTTTTCCCTTTTTTGTTTTTGAGGGGGAATGAGATAGAGGATTTGTTTATACTCTATTATTTAATGAAGTATCTTGTTAGGATGCTAATCTTTTGTTACATAATTTTTTTCTTTTTTTTTTCTTTTCTGTATTACGATTTTCAGATTAAATACTAATAGGTGGCAAACTCTTTAACAGAAAAGTTTAAAAATAAAAATCCAGAGTTTTAACAGGCCTAAATAGTACACTTACAATTATAGAGTTTTATTTACTTTAATATAAAAATATAAAGAGACAGGATGTTTTGTGAATGGAAGTATATAAAGAGTAGAAATCTAGAATTAACAAAATTAAAGTTAATTGAATGTCATAAATTAGAAAATATATACTGTTTGACAATAACACTAGGATCTTTAATTGTTTTAACTGTAGAAAATTTATCTTGGGAAGATTAGGCTTCTATTTCTAAACCAACTATACTTTAATTGAATCCTAATAAAGCCTAGCAATATAAAGTATATTCTTGAACATGATTCTACTCTACTCTATGTGTAATCTCTCTTTTCCTGGACCTTGAAGCTAACACACTTTAGAATTTTTGGGAAGAGTCAGTGCAAGTCATAAGGTTTCAAAGAGTAAAAATTATTAGAATCTTAACATTTTCATCTCTATTTCATTGAAAATAAGTGACTTCATAAAAAGATGTATTTTCATAGTAATGCGAAGGCTCAGTAGGCAAATGGTAAAATGTGCCCCAAATACATTTTAATGTTTTGAGACATATTTACTTAAAGGTGGTGCCAGTTCTGCTCAGTGTGTGATGAGTTACAACTTTCACCTAGAAAGAGTACTATTAGCCACACACTCTCTCCAGTTGGCAGAGTGGCTGCCCCCCATGACTGGAGTTTGTACTAACCTTCTGTGGAGTCTGGGCAAGGGCTGAGGCAATGAGATTGGCTTTTTCTTCTGTGAGGTTTTTGACCATTGACCCCAGAGAAAACACCACAATACCATCTTCGCCTGAACTTTGGACAAATTCTTCCATTTCCTTCAGAGATAAAATTCTCTCTCTTACACAAGTGCAGGATCACAGGGGGAAAAAGGCTCTCCTACATTTCTAAATAGGCAGACTCAAGAGAAGTGTCAGGGACATTGTTAGACTGATTCTGTCTTCTGCCACATAGAACCATCTAGTCTCTTTAAGAGGAAATGTATTTCTGAAAACTATGGCTTAAATATATAATGAGTGATTACACATAAAGCCATGGAACCAAACCATTATACAAAATGAATAGGGGATAAGAGGCCGATGTTTTCATGGTACATGGAACTATTACTCCCAAGGCTTAATTTTATGAACCAACAGAGCTGTCTGCAAACTTGTAAAAATATTCCTTGGAAGGAAGCCCAAAGAAGGGTTCTGAATGAGGCTTTGAAAATTTTTAGCATGCCAGTTTACATCCAATAAATTATGAATAACTTGATCTAACTTCCTGTTAGGCGTTCAGAATATTTTTCTCATGTTTATTATTTCCCTGATTAATAGGGCTAAAAATATTTTTTAAGAAATGGTATATATAGTAATACATTTGAAAAGATGATAATGCAGTTAAATTCCTGCTACAATCATGATAACAATTATGAGACAGTGTTTCTCTGCCTTCCCACAAGAGTGTGACACTAACTGCGTGCCCAAAATTTGAGCCTTAGCACAGATTCTCTGCAAATAAAATTCTCTTGATCATCACTTACAGTTGTGCAAACTAGGCATAGCAAAGTCTGGGATTGGGGTGTTTCACATAATCTATGTAAATGTCACCCTCTAGAGATATGTCATCTCTTTGTAACTATATGTGGTCACCCTGCAATCACTATGTTTCTCAGTTTAAGGCTAGTAAAATTACAACGGGAAGGACAATGCCATAAATGAAATTAGACTGCTATTTTTACTTAGTTAATGCTAAGAGAATATCTGATGTCCCAGGAATTGGTATTTTACCATTTTGATTCAATTCCCTAAACAGATAGTGATTGAATAAAGAAACATTACACACACACAAACACATATGCAGGCACATATACACACAGGTATATTAAGATTTACACACTTACCTGTTTGATTTGGATTCTTGATTTAACTCTCATTTCTTTTCTATTCTGTGTATCCAGTGACTGGCATAATTCTTTCATCAGAGGTATAAGCCAAGATTGGTATTGCCCAAATATCTATATTAATAATTGGGTTTGGGATGGAATAATTTTTCTACCTTGTGAAACATGTCTGAGTCATTTTTGTGAAATTGTCTGCATGTGAAAAGTGGGGTTGGAAGGATAAACATAATAGTGTGGCAAGGTATTACCTAATGAGCCATGGGATATGTCTTATCTCTTTCTGTACCTTTATTTATTTTAGATATTGGTTTACTACCTCCAGTAATAACACTCAATAGAGCTTGTCTTCAGCTATACCTTAGTTGGTGTGAAAAGCATATTCAGAATCCTGAAGTAAAGTTTTAAACTTCAATATCCATCTTACCCTAAACAGAAATCAAGAACTCACCTGGGAACACCATTTAACCTGCTATCTTCTACAGAGATTATGTTTGTTTACCCACAACCCAAGCAAATGAATATCTGTCTCTTCACTGCCTATTGATAAAGATAGTTAAATACAATATTCTTACTGTATTTACCTATTATTTTCCTTTGTTTCTCAATATTGTTTGCTTCTAATATTTCTGGCAGTCCATATTTATTCTTTGATAACATTGGAATATGATTTTCTCTTTTACTCCAAAAAAACCCCTGATATCATGGTCATAAAGAACCAATTCAGCGTTTGGGTTTCTCAGTTTTATGATTTCTACTTTATGTTGATGACTCCCAATTTATTTCTAATGCTCTCTGCTGAGACTGAAACCTTGTATTAACAGATGACTTCTAGAAATCTCCACCTGAAAACTCTTTAGACTTCTTAAAGTGAATTTGAAATGGAACTCATCATTGCTATCTCAAAAAAGCTTTTTCAACTAACTTTCCTGGCTCAGTAAATCTCATTGCTCTCCAAGAGGCCCTGTCTGATTCCATGTCTTCCATCAACACTTAACTTCTTCTTACTGACCAAAGCCTGTCAGTAAGAGTCTGCCCAAGACTCACGAAAGCATCTTTATCACTCAAATGATCATAGTAAATGTCCCTATTCATAACTCTATCATGCTTGTTAGGAAGACTACAGCAGTCTTCTTAATGATTTCCAAGGCTCTAGCTTCCTGTTCTTCAATCCAATATCTATACTATGGACACAATGATATTTTTAACATGTCACATGGCAGACTTCATTCTCTGCTTAAATATCAAAGTAAAGTAAAAAAAAAAAAATCATTCACGAAAGACCCCTATGATTTTGAAAATAGATTTGGTGTAGCAAACTGAAGACATCCAGCAGCATAGCTCTGTTATTGACACTGTGGAGAAGAACGAGTATTTGCAAATTACCAAGTCAATCATTTGTATACAAAGAAAACGTGTTTTGCATCCAAGTAAAGAAAAACTCAGATGAGAATATTCCTTTCTTAAGGATTCTATTCAGAATTGGTGATCATGTATACTGCAGGTTGGATAGCCTCTTTTTAGAATCATTACTACTTTGTAGTGCTTGGATATATGTCTGAAGTTATATAGGCAATGATTTAATTTGATAATAAAGAAGCAATTTCCAAGGACACTCAGCTTGAAATTGCCAGAGACTGGATGAGAACACTGCCTCACAGTTTCCCACCAATATGTTATTGTTCTTTAGATGTCTTGTTCCATGCGTGTGACATCCTGTCTTGACTACTAAGTACTTAGGTGAAATTATTGTGTAAACCTGTAGACCACATTTTAAGAAAGACCTAGCTTAAAGTATTCACTAAGCTTCTATTTTTGAAACAGTTATGCGCAGTATGAAATACAAAGCCAATCAAACGTGAGAACAAAACTGAGCAAAAGTATGCAAAAGTTGTTAAATACTTTCATAAGACATTCTAAATGTTATGCTGAGGACTTGCAAAACAAAAATATGGAATTAAACTTTACCACCAGTCTTTTTCCTATAGTTATATTTATTACACAAAATGAGTTATGAACACAGTGGAAAATTATATAAATAATTGATAAATGGCCATTAAATTTGAATTACCATGTAAATATTGTTATTGTTTGAATCTATTACTGTAATCCTACATGGTGAGTTTACTGAGATGCCTTTCAATTTCAAAGACTTCTTAGAGGTAGCCTGAATGTATGGCAAAAGCCTTAATGTAGGTGAGTTGGATGGAGGGAATTGAGCAGAGGACAGTTACCAATCTCCCGGTGGTAATTCAGGCAAGCCGCAGATATCAACCTAGAAATAACTTTTCTAGGTTCTTTAGCTTATTCATTCCTTTCAAAGGCATGTGAGAAAACTAATATGCATAATTTCTGTATCACTTTTAAAAAATTAATACTTTACATTTTTAGAGCGATATTTGGATCACAGCAAAACTGAGGGGAAAGTGGAGATATCTCCCATGTACCCTTGTCTTCACACATGCATAGACTCCTTCAGTATCAACATCCCCCAAGAGAATCGTACGTTTGTTGCAATTGATGAACCCACACTGAAACATTATAATCATCCAAAGTCTGTTGTTTACATTATAATTAACTCCTAGTATTATAAATTCTGTGGTTTTGGACAAATAATAAAGACATGATCAATCATTATGGTATCATACAGAGTATTTTCACTACCCCAAAATTCTTTGGTGCTCTGCCTATAAATCCCCCATCCCCATCTAACCCCCTAGCAACCATTGATTTTTTTTTTATGGTCTCCACAGTTTTACCTTTCCCAGAATGTCAGAGTTTGAATTGTACAGTAGGTAAACTTTTCAGATTGGATTTTTTCCTTAATAATAGGGACTTAAGGTTCTTCCATTGTTCCATGTCTCTTTGTGGCTCAATAACTCATTTTTTAGAGCTGAATAATATTCCTTTGTTTGGATCTGCAACTTGGTTGCTTCCAAGTTTATCCATTCACCAACTGAAGGGCAATGTGATTGCTTCCAAGTTTTGCCAAATATGAATAAAACTTCTATAAATATCCACGTGCACATTTTTGTGTAAACATGTTTTTAACTCCTTTAGTTAAATACCAAGGAGTGTGGTAGCATGGTAAGAGTATGTTTACTTTTATAAGAAACCACCTAAGTGTTTCCCAAGTGGCTGTACCACTTTACATTCCCACTAGCAATAAGGAGAGTTCCTGTTCCACAACTTTCCAGCTTTTGGTGTTGTCAGTGTTTTGCATTTTGGCCATTTTAATAGATGTGAAGCGGTATCTCATTATTATTTTAATTTGCATTTCCCTCAAAACAAATGACATGGAGCATCTTTTTATATGCTTATTTGCCAACTATATATCTCCTTTGTGCAGTATCTGTTATGATCTTTGGTCTACTTTTTAATCAGGTTTCATGATTTCTTCTTGTGGAGTTTTAAGTGTTTTTAAAAAACATTTTGGATAACAGTTCTTTATCAGACCTGTCTTTTGCAAATATTGTCTCCCAGTCTGTGCCTTGTCTTTTCATTCTCTTGACATTGTATTTCACAGAGCAGAATTTTCTAACATTTTGTTGAGGACTTCTGACTCTATGAGAAATATTGATCTGTGGCTTTCTTGCCTTGTAATGTCTTTGTCTGGTTTTGACATTTAGGTAATGCTATCCTCATAAAATGAGTTAGAACTTATTCCCTCAGCTTTTATCCTCTAAAAATGACTATAAAGAATTAGTATAATTTCATCTTTGAATTCATTTTTGTTACAATTTTTTTATCTCTCTTTTTTTGGTTTTTCTTAGGATTTGCATCTCACTGCTTACACAGTTCATCTGTTTTTAACATGTTGTCCACTTTATCCATTTAGAGCCTTTAGCATATTAATCAGAATTGTTTCAGGTCCTTGTTCTGAAAATTACAACATTCTTGCCATCTCTTGTGATGATTGTTCTGACTACTCGAAATGTGTTTTTGCCTTTTGGTATGCC